CTTGGGGTGCCTGCGGCTTCACCAGGTTCCGAAGCAAAGAGTAAGTCCTCGGGCCGCAGCAGCTCAGGAAAATGGATCTCGTCTTTGCAGCAGGGACATCGTTGTCAAGGAAGAATTCGTGAACTCGTTCCACGTATGCAAGCCATTCGTCGCCTCCCCCCTCGAACGGTTCGATCCTGCCGAACGTCGGCATAGTCCTCTTTTTACCTCGTCGCCATTTTGTTACGACTGTGGGAGGAAAAGAACACACGTCTGAACCCGCTGACGGTCTGCATCACACTACTTCTTTTTCTTTTTACTGGCATTGTTCTCTGCCACTATGGTTTCTGGTGGCGCTAGTAGACTCTTAACAGGGAGCTCTCTGACATACACTGCAACCTGTCTCTTGCACAGTATAACAAGAAAAGCACTCCTAATTCTGTGCTTCTGAAAGAATTTCATGAACTTAATTGCTCAATTGTATGACGATTATACAAAGTTCTATACAGATGGCACAAAATCTGAGACCCTTGTTGGTTGCTCTGTCATTGGCTCTTCAGTGGAAGTTGTAAGGCGGATAAATACTGCTGCTACCATTTTCACAGCGGAGCTGTATGGCCTCCTGTTGGCTACAGAACACATAGCCCGTCACAGGATACCCCTGGCAGTGGTTTTCACTGACTCTCTTAGTGCCTTGCGAGCCATCTCTTCACTATTGCCTACAAGGAACGCCCTTGTTGTTGAAGTTCAGAAGAAAATTATAGTGGCAGCCAGAAAGCATTGCACCATTGTCTTTTGTTGGATTCCCAGCCATGTTGGTATCCCAGGCAATAAGGCAGCCGACCGTGCTGCCCGCACATGCGTCAGCAGAGAGGTAGATATTAAAAGGATCCCTTACATGGACTATCGCACTTTTGTGAAGTCTTGCCTACGAGCACAATGGCAAGCCGAGCGGAATGAGGAGATCTACAACAAGCTGCATCTCGTTAAGCCAGACCTGGGTGAATGGGCGAGCGCCCGGCACCAGGAACGCTTTCATGAAGTTCTGTGTCGCTTGCGCATTGGCCACACTCATCTGACTCATGGCTATACCTGCTCCATGGGGAGGATGCCCCTTTGTGTGAACAGTGTGACAAACCTCTAAGTGTTCTCCATTTTCTAAATGAGTGCCCTTCCTATGAACGGGAACGCCGATCTCACTTTCCACAGTTATACAGAAAGCACATTCCCTTACACCAAATGTTGTTATTGGTTGATGAACCATTCGTAACTTACAAGCAGGTTTTTAAGTTTTTAGAAGCTATTGGTCTTCTACATCGACTGTGAACTTCAAAGTTCTTTTACTCATGTCCATTTTTGTTTGTGACATTATCCGATTCATGTCTCATTCCTTTACTTTTAACCCTGACCACAAGTGTCCTTTCTTCTCGGTTACCCTCAATGCAATAGTTTCCTTCTTTGGCGCTCTTTGGCCTTAGCAGCCCTTGCGCCATAAAAACCCGATCAAACCCAAACCCAAGCCTGCACGTAGAAATCTAAACTTTTCGTCATAGGTGTATTTCACAGGTCGGTTTTTTTTTTTTCTTGTAAAAATACAAAGCGTAGCTCTCTTTCTGTAAAAAAAATGGGCCAAGAAACTTTCCACGGTCAACTGCGGACGGCGAAAGACACGACCAAGTCGAGTAGCGGGGCGGGTTTGGCGCTCGTATTTACCACATAATTAACATGTTACTTTTTGCGTTATAAGCGAGGGAAGCAAGCTATCTCTTGTTTCGCCATGGCTCGAGCGCGTTTTTATTCGGCATCTATCATTCTTGCGCGGAAAATGATAAGAACCTTTAAATCAGTTTTGTGTACCCCAAATTCCCTTGAGAAGTCAGTCACCAGGATGTTGACCCATCCAAGCGCCTCCGTTCAGCATTGAACTTACGACGTCATCAAGGAATGAAGTTCACTAAAACCGCAATCCTTTATCTGTCAGCAAGACGCGCTGACAGCGCCCATGAAGTACTGAATGTACAGGAATAATCGACCAATCGACCACCCAAGTCCGAGAAAATATTTGTAAGTTTTTGGCAGGATAGAGAAGGGGGCCATAATGGTCAGAGCAGATCAGATGAATCTTGGTCTTAACCCTCTGTGTGGAGGTTAATAATTTCATGATAATTGTAGCGAAATACATCGGCCCTTAGAATCGCTATACCAAGAATACACCCGAAAATGTATTTCCATACAGAAATATAAAAATCGGTTGAAAATTTGTGTCGCTGCACAGAAATATAAATACATAGTGCATTCTTGAAATACTATCGCGATACCTTTGGATCGCAATTCTGCCCAACCCTGCTCGGAAGTGTAAATTATGCAGAGGCACGGGCGCAGACCATGTACCCAAAAATACATTAACCCTGTTTGCAGTGGCGTAGTTTTGAAACACCCTGTAACATCGCGTAACGGCCAACAACGTGTCGCTTAAACACGGCCACGGCGGCGTGCAGTATCTCCAATTTAATTGGGATGTAGATTGAAAAGGGGCTTACTGGATTTTAGAAGTGACGAAAACCTACTCGGAAATTAGCCGGAAGTGATCGAGAGGCTGGTATTGACAATGGCGGAAGATAGACACGAATATTTTAGAGCCATTTGCTTTCTGCAGGCTATGGTGTTCTCATCAATCGAGTTATCAGTTTTGCGCTTCAAAAAGAAAGAGCCCAAGTATTATTCTTTTATTTATTTAATGATATCCCTCAGGGCCCGATGGCATTACAGAGGGGAGTGAGTTAATAGGTCAAATACAAAAAAGAATAGAAACAAAACCTAAGAGCAAAACACACCATTTCTGACAAGATGCAGGAATGGGACTATGTAGGCAACGCTTAAAGATGATGGGATCAGTTATCCATGACGATGGAAGATGGTTTCAGGAAGCCGTTGTTTTGGGAATAAAAGAATTGTAAAAAGTCTTACAGGGAGCAAGACCCATCTTGTGTTGGTGATCAAGTCGCGATGAGATGTAGGAAAGGGGAGTTAGCAGGTCTGACATGCAAGGAAGGAAAGACCTTATGAAATAGGCACAAACCGGAGAGTTCACGTCGGACTAGTGCACAATTGGACAGGTTCAAAGTTATTTTCTTGGATGTTACGCTGGCGGTGCGGTGACAATTAGTAAGAATGTAGCGAACAGATCGATCTTCAATGGCTTCGACTGCAGATGTTAATACGTCAGTGCCGGGGTCCCAAATGGCAGAGGCATATCCCAGCTTTGACCGAACGAGCGTTTTTATATAGGAGGAGTTTTAAAGAAACAGGAATAGATACGATTCGCATTACTTGTTATGTACTGAGTGTGAGTTTCCCAAAATAGGACTGGACGCAATATGAACAGCCAAGATAATATGATACTCGTTCCAAGGAAGTGCTGTTAAGGAAGTAGCAAGAGGAGTTGGTGTTAAGTGGGGAAACAGTCATTACTTTACATTTATTCGTGTCAAGTTTCATCTGCCATAAATCACACCACTCGGACACACGATTAAGGTTAGACTGAAGGCAAAAAAACATCGGAGTCGTTAGTCACTTCACGGTATATAACGCAATCATCAGCAAAAAGGTTAATCGAAGATGAAACACAGGAAGGTAAATCATTTATGAAGATAAGGAAAAGCACCGGACCTAATACGGAGCCTTGAGGGACCCCTGACGTAACGGGAGCCAGACTGGATGGTGGATTATTTGTGAACACGAATTGGGACCGATTAGTTAGGAAGGGAAAAAGTCGGGCAAGTACGTTAGGGTCAATATTTAGTTCTGTAAGCTTATGAATTAGAAATTTATGAGATACTTTATCGAATGCCTCTGAGAACTCAAGAAAGATGCAATCAAATTTGGAATCATAAAGCTTCACGCTTTTATTTTGTTGGTCTACGCTCCTTTTTTTTTTTTTTCTTTCGCCCCGCAGAGCGACTAGGTTTCCCAAATATCTTACAATGACTAGCTCACGGGAGAACACTGCAGGGTCGTGGAAAGTGTTATCGGGAGAATGGATTCCCCTCCTCATTCCCCGCGTTGTTTGGACAGTTTAATACTGCTTAATATTGTTTAACCGACATGCCTGAAAAGAAGGGAATGGGGAAACCGCCCCCCCCCCCCCTCTCCTTATGACTGACACCTAGTGTTGCATGATTGTTGATTGACACGGAAAGAGAAATACACACAAAAACCGCACATTTGCGGGGACACCTAGTGGCGCTCGTGGTATGAAGGTTCACTCCGGTCAAAAAGTTGAAGTGCGTATGAGTTCCCGCCAAATGATGTTTTTCCCTATAGCACAGTAGTGTACGTCACTAGGGTCAGCGGCACCGCAACCCCCCCCCCCCCCCCCCCTTTCCCGGTTGTGACGCAACTAGCATAGCGTAATCCCCACACATGGACACATACTTCGTATAGTTACAATGATGCAATTTCACTGAGATCAATTAGCGCGAGAGGTGGACACTATAGCACCGAAAACAACCGGAATCTTGATGCCTTAAGCTCCGATCAGTTGTAAACCATTAAAGACACTAAACACTGTGTAGCTCGCAAAAAAAAAGAAAAGAAAAGCTGTATAAGATACAATAAAATAAATGTTAATATATCAAATAAAGGTATCGCATAAGAATCACCTCACGAATGTCACCTGCACTAAAATTCGTCTTTATCAAATAAACGTCGGGTTTAGCTTTGCGACCACCAGTATGGCAAACAAATATAAGTGCACAATTTAAAAAAAAAAAGAAAAAAAAGAGAGAGAAGGTACAGCTTCTAATGTCTAAGCTCTCCTGTGCATCGGTATAGTTATACGGAAAGAAAATAAAAGAGAGGAGGACATGAGAGGGTGCAGTGACGTCCGAGAGCTTTGATTGGAGGGAAGGTAAACTGAAAGGCTATATGACATTGTCTCCCTCCAATCAGAGCTCGGCGCTCTGACGTGACAGTACCACCTCGTCTCTGCAAAAAAAAAAAAAAAAAAAAATGAGGGGAGATTGGCGATTGGTCAGAACACGTCGCAGCGCTTCTCTGGGTTCATCAGAGTCCCCGCGGCACACCTGAACGCCGTCGCGAACTCCGGCGTGTTCATGAGTGGCACATTGCAGCGCATTTTCATGGGCGAGTAGATTTTCACTTTCACCATGTCCTCCGTGTATTTGGCGGGTGGTGTACTCGCGCACCATTTGTAGCAGCTGGTAATGAAGAAAGTCTGCTTGCCCGTGTACGACTTGTCTCCAAGCTTCTGAACAGAGTGGTCGCCGAGGGCGTCGTAGGCTCGGTGCACCCTCTCCAGGCCTCCGCAATCGGCGAAGTTCTCGGAGACGGCCGTGTCTCCGTAGTTGACCCCGCTCGCCCAGGGCACCTGGTTGTAGATGTCCTTGAGGCACTGCAAGCGGGCGTCGATGGCCTTGCGGGTGTCCGGAGTCCACCAGTCCTCCCGGAGCCCCGAAGCGTTGTAGAGGTTAAGCTCGGGATCGAAGGCGTGCGTGATCTCGTGGCCGATCACGTGACCCAGGCTACCGTAGTTGAAGGCCAGCGGCAGGCCGCTCTTGTAGAAAGGTGCGAACATGATGGCCGGAGGTATGACCATGATGTGGTAGATGGGCACGTAGAACGCGTTCACCAGGATCGTTGGCAGTTCTATGTTGATTGCCGGGAAGAATGGCGTTGGAGACTTGAGGAGGTCCTTCTTCCGCGCCGATTCGGCGTCTCTGGTGACCTCCAGCATCGTCGCGTAGGGGCCTTCGGCCGTAGCCAGAAACGAGTAGTGTTGGTTCAACATCTCCGCGGTGGTAAGGTTATCCGGACGTCCCACAAATCTACCAAGATCAGCGAGTCGGTCCACGGCTCTGGTGCGGGTGTCCAGGTCCATCCAGGATTTCCCCTGGAAGCCTGCACGCGTGGCATTACGGATCAGCGTCACCATGTCGCTGATCTCGGCGAGCTCGGTCTCTTCGAGGCTCCAGCGAACGAAGAGGTCACCCATGATGTAGGGCAGGGTGACGACGACGTTCAAGATACAGTGACCAAGCATGTAGAACATGGGTAGCCCTCTGATTGGCGTGTGCTCACTGGCGATGCTCGAGGAAGCCGCTGGAGCCAGATACCTAGCGAGTAGCAGACCTACGTAGCCTCTCAGCGTCTCGGACTCGGGATTTTCGCCCAGGAGTGTTCCCAGGTAGCGCAGGTAGCCGCCGTGGTGAACCCAGATCTCGTCGTCTACGGTCATCTGTCGGTCGGACGGCAGGAGGCGGTTGACGGCGTGGAGAAATTTCCCCGTCATGGATGGGGAACCCGTCAAGTTCTTGAGATCAGCGAAGTGCACGTAGTTGGAAGACATGTTGACGCGGTCGCCCTCATTTGGTAATGAAGCGGTAATCAGTGTGTTGTCAATGGTTACCACGCGTTCGATTAGTTGGAGGCTTGGTGTTCTGCGTACAAAGAATAGAAATAAGATATTGGACATCAGTCAAGGCTTGTACCCGTGGTCAACTTTCTGTGCCATTTTGGACGAGATGAGTAGTGAGCGCGCGCAGCTCTAATTGGTGATCATACACGCGCCCCCGTACCTTTTAATGCACAAAAAGTTGTCAACGAGCATAAATATATATTTACTTTTTGTCACTCCACGTAGGAGTGATCCGAATTCTCTTTGCCTAAAGCGTGAAACGCATGCACGGTGTAAGATATAGATAATACTCTTCAGGTGAGGACAGCGCGCTCCTCGCGACGTGCCCGATAAAGTTCGCTCTTCACTCTCCCTCTTTACTTCTCTCACTATGGTTTGAAGCGGCGCCGGCAGGTGACTCGTGGACCCGTGGGCACGTAAAGTCCCTCTATACTGGGAAAAGTGGCGCCATTCATTGTATAGAAATGCTCGAGGCACGTGCCGCGCGCCACTTCTGGGAAATTCATGGCGTCTGAAATTTAGCTGTTCTGCGCTGTGCCGCCATGATCTTCCCGAGGGAAGATCGCAGCCATAGAGTGCCCGGTCTCAGATTTGGAGCGCGAGGATCTGGTAGCACAGAGCATTTCTCGGGGAACCTGTAGTCAGCGCACAGCTATTGCAACGGTTTTCAAACCCAACGAGAAAAGAAGCGGTGTGCGAGGAAGGCGAGGAGTACGAACGGACATTCCTTTGCTCAGGGCAAGTGTGTTTCGGCGTCTCGCCGCAGCGGGGCGCCCGTTACATGGATCTCCTCTCATCCGTTCTTTTGCAGCTCTACCTTTTCACTTTCAGCAGCCGCGTCTCGTAGCGATCTGCCAGGCTTTGTCAGTGTAAATGAGGCTATGGTTGAACTTAAGTTTTAGAGCGCATTATATGGGACAACAAGACTGCAACCTTTTTTTAGAGTGTGGAGTTACCGTCCGCTGCATTTCTCATAAAACGCAATTCTACATATGACGGTCGCATCGACACGTAAAAATACAACTACAATTTTTTTTTCATTGCCTTTTGCGCAAAACTGGCTAACGTAGTCGTGGAGATGAAAATGTTGACGTAGGTGCAGGGTTCACTTCAGAGAGAAGATAGTCCAATGCGGCTGAGGGATTTGTCGCGAGTATTGAATGTGAGCACTCGTTTCGGTTATTTGCTAATCAGCGCCGTTGGCGGACACTTGGGTTAGTTCTCGCGACCAATCACTTCGGTGACGGCATTTTTCCCAACTCGAGCAACGGCCTGAGCACAGCACGTGCCGTGTGCATTGCCAACCTTAGCACCTGGCGACGATAAACACAGGCGGCATGCTATAAAATCCCCACCAGATCATGTGACCACCACTTCTGACTCGGAGCTAAAAAAAAAAAAAAAAAAAAAACGCTCGTCGTTTTTTTTTTTTTTTTTGCATTTTTGTTTACAATATTTAATCCCCAAAAGAAAAAGAAAAAAAAAGAAAAAAGAAAGAGAACTGCTTTTGGGCATTATGATTTTATTGTGCAAGAGAAGTAGTGATCAAAGCACCACCCTCCTCTGATGCCCCATTTAAACGAAACAAAAACACAAAGTGATTAATGCGGCGTGATTCTGTGCTTTTTCATGTGTGATTGGTTTAGCAGGTGATAGTACGAGGACAGCACAGTGACGATGCACTTTTGATGCTCACTGATTGGCACAATTGTATCTTTTACGTTTGCTGCAGTCGGCCTCAATGTGCAACGGTGATTAGCTGACCGGAAACAACCAAATCTCCAACTCCCTTTAGCTCCCAACAGCCCCAAAAGAGAGACACGCTACTCGAATGAAATAACGAAATACCTCCGCTTCTTACGCACTAAAAAAAGTAACCAAGTACGTAACTGCGATTCAAAAGCAACGCGTAACGTCAGTTTGGAAGTAACGCGCTACTTTCTCCCTACTACGAAGTTTTATGAAGCAGGAACCGCTTTCAATGTTTGTCGTCGTTAATAATTTCATGTTCCTTAACGCGTTAATTGAGTAACAACTGTAGCTATACTGACATACCTTGTGCAGATTTGTTTATGGTCTATATGGCGTTTGCTCGTCGCACAAGTTACAAGCTCGAGTAGGGCGAGAATGAGGTGTACACGTTCCTCTCCCGAAGAAACCAAATGTCGTTACTCGCCACGTTATCAAAGAGTAACTGAAATACGTACTCGTTCCTTATCTTTTAAAGTAGCTAGGCACAAGTAACGCGTCCCTTGTAACGCGTTGCGTAGAAGTCTGCCAAAAAGGTCCTTACTTGTCGGACAGCAATTTTGCCATGACCTCGTAGTAGCTCTGCAGCCGCCCCTCCCTGATGATCAGCTTGCGAACCATCGTCCACTCCATGAAGAACTGGTAGCTGAATGCCATGTGCAGGATGTAGCGTCCGGGCTTCTTGAAGTTAACGTCCGGCGTCAGTTGGAACAGGAGGTGGATGCCACGATCCAGGGACAGTTCCACGAGGACGTCGACCATCGACGAAGGAACCTGACTCTTGGACGGCGGCCACGACACGTTGTACCGGGACATGAATCTTCTGACGTACTCTGCGAGAGACACGGACGTCACTCGTGACGCGGTTGCTCCGAATAAGCCCACCACAGTTTATAATGCGCAGAACGGAGGAATGGTTGTTGACAGAAGTTAAACTCCGGATACGTGGAAATGATGGAAATGAAAATGCTGCGCATTGATTATACGTTGTTAAGAACTTACGAGATTCGGTTCTCGGGGGAAGAGGAGATGCTTTTGACGTATAAAACGTGCACGTCTCGATAAGATAATACATATCTAATGTAAAGTTCACCTGGAACTTATAGTAATGCTCTGCGAGGATCGAGTCCGACTTTTTGAAAGCGAACGCCTTATATGTCCCATTACGTGGAAAATGGCGGCGTCGGCGTTGTGACCGAAAGATGACCATAAAAATACGTCATCAAGCACGCGCCGCTCAAGGTCAAAGTGAACGCGTCTCAGAACTAAAACAGAAAGAAAAGCACAGGAACGCAGATGCTTCGTCACGGAAGCCATGAAGCCGGCGGGGGCCCCGCATCTGCGCAGTGGGGGAGAGTGATGTCACTGCCGGAACAAAACATTTCCCCCGCAGGACTATAATGCTTTTGCATTCCTACACGTAAGCATTCTTAAGTGTCTTATTTACTGCGGTTCTTGAGGTTAACACGAGTATAGTAATTTCCTTGGGATGTCATGGGAACGTAACAATGACTTGTCCTCAGGGAGATTTTGATGAGCGTTATTCAGCTACCGCACCAGAACATTAACCGGATGGCTTTGCCGTACCAAGGTCGTCAGCGGTGCGGATGGCGTTTTGGACGCATTTCTGAAAGAGTCGCGCCGCCCTGACGTGGGAGTCGGCGAGCCGAGAGTCCGGCGCTTGGACGTCGATCAAAATGAAGCGCTTGAAGAAGGAAAGGAAGACGCGAATCTGTAGGCCCACGAAAACATTCGGCTGAATCTGCACGTAAAAGGAGAAAATATAGTTATGAAAATAATGCAATTAATGCAAAGGTGTAAGCAAGCGACAAGATTAACGATAATAATCCTTGGAGTGGGGTAACAAGGGGCTAAAAAACAAACACGAATATCCAAACAATGCTAGGTGACTGGTGCGCGACTGAAAAGTCGGCCTGGTCGTGGTACCGAACCAGAGACCTCTCCATTTCCAGAGGAGCGCCCTACCAACTTAGCTACACAGGAGTTAAACGTAAGGGGCCAAAGGACAAACACGAATCTCCAAACACAGCTAGGTGACTGGTACGCGACTGAAACAAATCCGCCTGGTCCTGGTGCCGAACCACGGATCTCTCCAATTCTAGTGAAGCGCTCTACCAACTGAGCTACCCAGGGGTTAGACGTCAGTAGGGCAAACGGGTTTTAACAGCTGCCACTTGTCTAACACGCCAACACCAACAAGGGTGAACGGCTGGCATATTTAAGGTTACGATAATATTGTAATTAATGGGCAAGCGAGTTGGACAAGAAGATAAAAATTGCTCCACTAGAAACGGAGAGGTCCGTAGTTCGGTACCAGGACGAGGCGGACTTTTTCAGTCGCGCACCAGTCAGCAGCTGTGTTTGGAGATCCGTGTTTGTCCTTTGTCTCTTATGTTCCCCCTTCCCAGGGAATATTATCATTATGGGAATATAGTCACCCTCCAGTCGCAGTTCACGTTCCTGTCTGCAAACGTCCTTGCGTTCTTCCACAGTGCAGGTGTGGGCATTGCGCGCGCGCAGAAACCAAATCCGCGAGAGGCGTCTACGCATGCGCAGTGGGACCGGCAGCGCCACCGCTGTAGCCTGACGTCAGGAGGAATTTCCATCTTACCCGGGCCTTCTTTGGCGTGTCCCAGAAAGCATTTTTGTCCCCCCTCGGATCGATCAGCCCGTCGCTCAAAATTGGTACCAAACCGGCTTTCCTCTACTCCGCCGGGGGCTTCGAACGCACTGTGCACAACTCGACAAATAGAATCTAGTCACGTGTCTCCCCCGCGACGGGCTGATTGGTTCACTGAGACTGTATGCCTTTCGCCATTTGCCAGGTTACGGTGAGACGGCTCACATTGAGGAGGTATGCGTCATATGCGTTCAGCATAAACTGCACTCTAAAAGCAAAAAAAAAAAAAAAAAAAAAAAAGAAACGGTATTTCAAAGGTTTTTTTTAACGCTCCAGGGACTCTTTCGGCACGTGAAGTACGGTCTCGCCCCACGCGCTATCGCCCTCTGGCGCGCTGGAAAGACAATTGTGCGATGGAAAACTCTTCAGCATAAAAAAATGAAAGACGTTTACAACTCCCTGTAATGCCGAATTAGAGCGCAGCTCTTGAGTAGGAGGAGGAGAGAGTACAGAGATGAGGGCATGCTCCTTCTCCGTATCCCTCTCCTCCCTTCCCCCTCCCTCCTCCCTCATGACGTCACTCGGGAAGGCCTCGCGAAGGTCGTGACCTTCGTCATGATTTTCACGAGTGACCTTCGTGACGTCACTCGTGACGTCATTATGGGAAACGTCCCATAATGCAACGCGCGGTTACGGCGACGGTGACGCCGCTGAAGCCGGAAACGGCCGCCTAAGAGTAGTGCCCTAAAAAAACACAAAAATAGCCAGTAATTTGTTTTTCACGAAGAACCCTTTTAGGGAGTGCTTAAATGAACTTTTTTTATGGTGCAAAATACGGAGAAGCCGAAGAACCTTTAAAGGGCCCATGAAACAATTTTTGGCTTGGGATAAATCATTTTAGATTGGGATTTTACTAATAGCACATCAATCAGTGGGCCAAAAGAAAAAAGGTAGAAAGTCAAAAGCCTGACTTTCAGTGCGAAAATTTGAAAACACAGCGGACTATTTCGTACCTCCTCCCCTTCGTAACCTCTCCGCCTTTTCACTGCGATACATCCGCGGTCCCAAAAGCGCGTCGTCGGGTCCAAACTGACGTCACACGAAGCCGGACCTCATTTAATCCCTTCACCCCTAAGCTGACATTGTGGTGGAAGCTACAGGCTTGCCGGACCAATCAGCCACCTCCGTTTCATCAACTTACCTCATTCTCTGCAGCCACATTTGCCACGCTCACGTGGCAAAAGTGGCTAGCGTCAAGGAGCACGTAGCTTCCACAGCACTGTCAGCTTAGGGGTGAACGGGGTAGGGAAAGAAACTTTTGTCCGAGTTTTGAGCGACGGGCTAATCTTCTAGGGGGACAATGGCTCTCTCCGGGTACACAAACCAGGTTCCGAGCGAGAGGGGCCTCCCTTCTTTTCGTCTTCTTGAACTGTGTGGTGGAATGCGCGATTTATGAGTTGAGGAGGAAAGCGAAACAGGAAAAAGTTGGAAAAGCGTTTCATGACCCCTTTAAAAGTTATTTTACGATCAGTTTTTTTTTTTAGTTTGCTTTTTAGGTACGAAGCTGGTGCACTGCATACCGCCACAAGTTCATTAGAAAAAAAAAAAAAAAAAAAAAAAAGATTAAACGTTACGCACGTGAGATTTGTTCCAGTGACCGCAGACAAACTCGTAGAAGTCGTCGCATGGGTTCTGTTTTGTGTCGATGGACGACGCCACGTCCTGGACCCAGTCGTCGCACCTGGGTTGCTGGCAGCCGACGATCGCGCTGTGGGCAAGAAGAGGACATGATAGGAGGAGGCTAACGGCCAAGCTGGACTAGCGCGGTCCCAGGGCACTCCAAGCACCCCGTCTTGCACATCTAGGAAAGCTCATTACCTTAGTTGGCTAGCGATACAGTTCAAACACCTGAAACATCGGAAGCGCGCCTATACATTTCCACAGAGTACTTGGGGGAGTCAATCGCTACAATCTCGGCGAATGCCACGCTAAACATATGTATAGATCTAAAAAAGAAAGAAAAAGGTCTGCCCTGCTGCGCTGAAACACCATGCTCAGTGCTATACGGCGCGGACGGTTGTCTTTTTTATGCCTAAACATAATTTAAGCCTCGCCGTTCACTGAGTTTCCGTCGTAGATTACAGCGATAAGCTTTTCCATTTGTGCTTTGTGGGAATGCAGACGTTCCAGTCTTTGTAAGAGTGAAGCCTGCGAGACGAGATAACGTCACCGATAGAGGACAAGGCCATGCGACGCTGTAGCACACAAAGGCGTCGCCAAGACGGGCGCGTCTGCCGCTTCGCGACGACTCGTCGACCTTCAGCGTGTTTGCCGCTTGGGGCGGGGAGGAGTTCCGCTAAGGATGACGTCACGCACAGGCCTTGTCTTCTGTGGGGTATTGGGGATGAGGCCCCAAAAGGCAACATCTCACCGGGCATCCTCCTTTTCCAGCTGAACTGCAACCTAAAGGCCCGTTCACACTCTTGCGACCGAGTAAGACCGAGAGAGACCAGACCGGTTTTTAAGCCTCTTGCGACTTCTTAAGACCCGCTCCGCTGCAGCGCATCCGGTCCTAAGAAGTCGCAAGATAATTAAAAACCGGTCTCGTCTCTCTCGGTCTTAAGGCCCGTTCACACTCTTGCAACCGAGTGCGACCGAGAGAGACCAAACCGGTTTTTAAGCCTTTTGCGATCTCTTAGGACCAGCTCCGCTCAGTGCATCCGGTCCCAAGAAGTCTTTCTCGGTCGTACTCGGTTGCAAGAGTGTGAACGCGCCTTGACTCGGTCGCAAAAGTGTGAACGGCGCTTAAGAAGAAGAAGAGAACAAAAGAGGGCTAACCGCACGCCGAGTGGAATTCCCAAGCAGACGAGGATGGTGACGGACGTTAGCGAGAGGGTCACGAGGACGTAGCGCCTCCAGTTGGGCCTTGCGCTGAAAGCAACGGGACTGTACGTCGCCGGTGGTGGCACACCGATGCTCCTGGCAGAACCTGGGACGCATGCACTCCGTATACATTCTAATCCCGTCTCTGCTCACCGTTTACAGTATATGTGGTCAAGATAAGAATTGCTCACGTTATTGCGCGAGAATAGAGAAGGCCGACAATAGCCGAATACAGCGTGACATTTTTCCTGCCTCGCCCGGCGACGCAAGAG